GGGAGCTTTCAGTCTTCTCCCTGGGAGCTCTGCTGGGTCCTTCTTTGGGATGCCCCTCTGCAGACTATTGCCTTAGCTGATGGGGAATGGCATCTCTAGTCCTCCATGGGCACTAAAGCTTCTCTCTCCCTCGTCCCTTTGCCCCTCATCTTCCTTCACCTTTCCTGCTCCTTCTGCAAAGACTACCAGTTGGTGCTCTCCATTAAGAGAGCTCGACTGTGCCATTCCCTTTCCTCTCCATCTTCCTTTTCCTTCCCTGCTTCCTTCACCAGAGACCTTACCATTAGCTTCCTCACTGCCAAGCTCAAGGGCCCATGCTTTACCTCCATAATATGTTTCTTAAGCACCTTTCTTCTAAGAAATATTTCCAGTATTGTCAGCAGCTTCTGCAAATGGGAAGGAAATGGGTATGGTTTCTTTATTAAAAATTTATTTTTTTATTGTTTGAAGCATTACAAATAGTAGTACATATGCCTCTTTTTCTCCCCCTTGTCCTCCCAGCCTCCCCTACCCCTCTGCATATGCCTTCATTTGCTCCCTCCTACCCCAGTGTCTTGTGTCCATTGTTTATGTTTGTATGCATGCATACAAGTCCTTAAGTTTATCTCTTACAACCTTCCTCCAACCTCCCTAGCCTTCCCGCTGTAGTTTGCCAGTCTGTTTAATAGTTGTTTATCTCTGTAACTATTTTTCTCCATTTCTTTTCTTTGAAAAATTTTGCATCTGCAGATTAGAAATAAACATATAATAACAAAAAACCTTTGAGTCCCAATTTCAATGTCCAACAGTTCTGAGACTCAGTTTCAATGTCAAATAGTTCTTTATGTGTACATGTCAGTAATGATATCTGGATGATGGACAGATGGTGGCAATGCAGCTCCGACCCTCTCTGGTTTGCTCTGGGTGTGGTTCCTTTATCTGTGCTCAGGGTCACTCTCCCCAGACTCACAATGACCTGCATGCTCTCCTAGGCCCTGGGCATGTGTCAGAGGCCTGCATAGTGGGTGAGTGCTGAGGACCACATAGCTTTTGTGGAAGCAGGTGGGGTGGACACGGCTATCCACCAGTAACTGCTCTAATCGGACAGTGTCATCTTCAGAAGGGGACGTGGGATGGACCGGCTTTCTCACCTCTGACCTCAAGCTGCAGTGGGTCGCTGGGGTAAGTCCACAAATTGGGGTCTGTGTAGAAGGCACCATAGCATGTGTAGTTTCCTGCCTGTGTGGAGGTGACATGGCCCAGGTGGAAGGTGGTCTGCCGTCCATTGTCCTGGGCTGTGGAGCTTTGTCTCTGTGTGAACTGAGGTGCATCATCTTTGGTGAGAATAAATTCATCGAGCTTGATTCTGGAGAAACACTGTAACTTCACATTGTGTCCTGAAGCCACCACTGTGCCACTCATGCTGGAGAGTGAGGGCTTGTCATAAATTCCTGAGAAAGAAGGAAGTTGCAAATAAAGAAAGTTGGGCTGTGCCTCCCTGTTCCCTGGAGCAGATGTGGCTCTGTCTTCTATTCCCTCCCTGTCTCGCCCTGAGGGAATGTGTCTCTGCAGCATGCCTGATGCCTCCTAGAGAGAGAGCCTTTGCTGCTTCCTGCTCCGTATCTCAGAGCCCGGTTCCTCCCCTCTGCAAAGAGGTCCCTCCTGGCCCTGCTGCCTGGGTCCCACTCACCTGTCATCACTAAACGCAGGGGTTCACTGAGTGAGGACCACTGACTTTCTCTCTTATAGGACCAGTGGTACAGTCCTATCCGGTCTGGTTTCATCTCTGGGATATATAAAGTTCTGGTCTTCGCATTCACCAGTAATTTTTCCCCACCCTAGTCTCAGGGTCTTCCACTTTATATATCTCATAGGCTTCAGCGTCTGCAGGCCCTTGGCACCGGATGGCCACTGGTTCCTTATATGGAATGATGGATCCAGGCTGAGCTGTGATAACAGGTGTGAGGAGATTTCCTAGAAGAAAATGTAATAACTTTACAGGTGTATCTGCTTCTCATGCCACCCTCCTGTTCCTCTCCTTTTACAGCTATGAGTTTAAATGCCAACACCCCTCTTCCCAGCCCCCAAGAGAGAAGATATCTGGCCAAACTCTACTTAATCCTTAGACATTGAAAAAACACTCACCATTCTGAGCCTGAGTGCTCTGGGCTACATACAACCCTGGAAGGAAATGTTGGATAAGAATAGCTCAGTCTTTTTAATTTTTAAAATATTTTCAATTACAGTTTACTTTCACTCTTATTTTATATTATTTTCAGGCATGCATCCTGGTAGTTAGATAATCATTTATGTTATAAAGTGCTTCCTCTTGCTATGTCCAGTACTCTCCTGGCACCATATGTAATTGTTACAATATTATTGGATATATTCTCTAAGCTGTACTCTATGCCTCCAGAAGTATTCTGTAACTCTGTATACTTCTCTATCCCTTCCCCCTATACCCTGTTCCCATACACTCTCCTCTGGCAACGGTCAGTCTGTTCTCTGTGTCTGTGCATCTGTTTCTGTTCTGTTTGCTCACTCATATTGGAGATCAGCCCAGTCTTATGGAACCACAGACCTGCCCCTGTAGGTTGTGTTTGCACCCTGACCCTTCTGTCCGCACTCACCGAGATAGAGCAGAGTGGGAAGACCCACGGACATGGTTCTGGGTCCTCTCTGGCCTGGTGTCCTCAGCGATGCTGCCTGTATGCGGAAGGGACTTCTCTGAAAGTCACACCAAGCAACAGGAAGTGGTGGGAGGGCCTTGGTTTTCACTCCCAGAGTGAAGGCATTTCACTACCTCTTCTGCTAAAGCCTTGTAGAGGCAGCTGGGAACATGATGTTAGTCATCTGAACTTCAAACCTCCATCAGCCCAGATCAGTCCTTATTTTCTGTCTCCAATTCCTCATGGCATTTAATCTTTCCGAATAAAGTGAGCAGGAAGAGGGATCACAAACAAAGAATAGGCCCGAAGTAGTTCCTAGTCTGAGATCAGCTCTGAAAAACTCTATGAGCTCATGGCTCCTGCTACTATATGCTGAGCTTCCTTTGATTCCGGTACAAAATGGGTCAAATATTATGTCTTTTTTCAAAGCTGTACTCACAGCATGTGCATGTGGCCCAGAGCAGACCTGACTAGGGAGGCAATGGCATAATGATTAGTTCTCTGTTTGCTGTGAATGTGCCCACCAAGCTGATAGTATTGACTCTGTCCATGTCTTGATTTGCTTTGACACTGGGGCAAAATATGCCTTTGTTGTTTTATTTCTCTTTCTCTTTTGTTTACCTATGTTTCATCATGTATATTTCCATCTCTTACTAATATGTATCTATCTTTATTCTATGATATTTATCTATTATCTCATTTGTTATCTATTTCTCTATCTATCTATCTATCTATCATCAATCATCTATCTATTATTCATACCAGCTTTCTCTCTTTCATCTACCTACCTTTGTGTCATATATATATTTATATCTATCTGTAACTATGTATGTATTATCTATATATAATTTATTATATTTCTCTATCATCCAACTATCTATCTATAAATCATCTATACCACCTTTCTCTCTCACCTATGTTTTACTTATTTTAGAGAGAAAAGAAGAAGGAAGAATAGAGGGAGAGAGAAAGAGAGAGAGAAACATTGACCAGCTTGGTCCTGCAACCCATCCCCCTTCCCATCTCCGCATTACTGAGGATCAAGCCTGCAACCCAGGCATGCTCCCTGACCTGAATTGAACCAGACACCAGACCTCTTGGTGTCTGAGAGGATGCTCAACCAACTGAGCCATAGCAGCCAGGCAATAACTCTATTCTTCATTTTTTTGGGGAGCCTCCATATGTACCCAAAGTCAAATCCTCTTAGGTCACCATCGATTTGGTCCCCTTACCCATTTTAAAAAATTATGTATTTTTATTGATTTCAGAGTGGAAGGCAGAGTGAGAGGGAGAGAGTTACATTAATGGTTAGAGAGAATCCTTGAAGGGCTGCCTCCAGCATGTCTCACACTAGGGATGGCGCTTTAACTTGGGCATATGCCTTGACAGGGGATCAAACTTGACATCCTGGTTCATAGGTGATGCTCAACCATCGAGCCACAACAGCTGGGTAGTCCCCTTTACTATCCCTCCACTCCATTCCTTCTGGCAATAACCATACTGTTGTCTGTGTATTTAATTTAAAATAGCATAGATCCTTCTTTTTAAAAATCTGCATAGTATTCCATTGTGTAAATGCACCACAACTTTGTATCCACTTATCTATTGATGGACACTTGGACTGTTTCCAGATATTAGCTATTGTAAACAACACTGCTATGAGCACAGGGGTGAATTTATTCTTTCTGCTTGGTATATCAGGCTTTTTAAAATATATTCCTAGGAGTGAGACCGCTGGCTCAAATGGAAGTTCCATTTTTAATTTTTCATGGTGAGTGAACCAAGCCAGTCAGAGAAAGACCATTATTTATTGACCTCATTCATATGTAGAATCTAATGAACAGAAGAAGCTGATGTAGAAAACAGATCCAGAGATAGCACCATGGAACAGACTGATGAGTCTCAGACAAAGGGGGTCAGGGATCAGAAAGAGATGAACCAAAGACCTTATATGCAAAAGCTATGGACACAGATTATAATGCAGTGATGGCCTGAGGGGCGGGCATGGGTGTATGTTGGATGGGGTCCATGGGGAAAAGAAAGAAACATCTGCAATATTTCCAACAACAAAGGATAAATTAGGAGAAAAAAAAAGCCATGTTGGCCAGGTGGTACAGTTTAGGCATTAGCTCTTCAGACCTCCAAGAGAACCCATTAGTACAGAGTTAATTCACTGTGAAGTTGGGACATTGTGTCAGATTCTGCAGGAGATGGACACACCCCATTACCCAGTAGGCAACACAGCCAGCACCTGCTTTCCTCTGGTTATCAATCCCTCAAGTCCACACTGTCCTTAGACGCTATGAGTGTCCTCGGTGTTGTTCATGACGCTCAGGTGTGGAGGGGAGGTTCTCATCTGAGTCCAGGGAAGGACCGCTTGTGGCTGTAGCAGGCCTCTGCCAACACCACCACCAGGGCCAAGAGAACCAGGCCAGCCAGACTCAGCCGGACTTGGTTCACTGGGGATACACTCCCACCAGCAGGTCCTGAGAGAGAAAGGACGGAGGTCACAGAACTGAAGTCAAAGGCCCTCGCAGGAAGATGCCCTCAACCTGAGCTCATGTCTCCAGTCTGATGGAACTAGGAGATCTCTGCCCAGCCACCTTTTGCATAAGCAATATGTGCCTTCTTTCCTCTGGTCATTAGGAGCTCTGTGGTGATTTCCAAAAGGAATTCTGGGTCATGAAAGGCAGGGATGGGGACTGGGTGGGAAGTTTTCAGTCTTCTCCCTAGGAGTTCTGCTGGGTCCTTCGTTGGGATGTCCCCCTGCAAACTATAGACTCAGCTGTTGGAGAATGTCCTCTCTGGTCTCCCGTGGGCACTAAAGCTTCTCTCTCCCTCCTCTCCTTTGCCCCTCATCTTCCTTCACATTTCCTGCTCCTTCTGCAAAGACTACCAGTTGGCACTCTCCATCAGGAGAGCCCACCTCTGCCTTTCCCTTTCCTCTCCATCTCCTTTTCCTTCCCTGCTTCCCCCACCAGACACCTTACCATTAGCTTCCTCACTGCCAAGCTCAAGGGCCCATGCTTTACCTCCTTAATGTGTTCCCTAAGTCCCTTTCTTCTAGCATTTACTTATTCTTCCTCTGTAATTTACCCAATAAATGTTTTTTTTACAGCTAAAAAAAAAAAAAAAAAAAAAAAAAAAGACTACCGGTTACTCAACAAGGATATGGCTGGGTTCTGTGGGATCAGGATTGTCAGCAGCTTCTGTAGATGGGGAGGAAATGGGGTGGTTCTTTTATCTGTGCTCAGGGTCTCTCTCCCCAGACTCACAAAGACCTGCATGCTCTCCCAGGCCCTGTTTCAGAGGCCTGCATGGTAGGTTAGTGCTGAGGACCTCATAGTTTTTGTGGAAACAGGTAATGTAGACACAGCTTCCCACCAGTCACTGCTCTAAGCGGACAGTGCCATCTTTCTAAGGTGACTTAGGGATGGACTGGCTTTCTTACCTCTGACCTCAAGCTGCAATGGCTCGCTGGGGTGAGACCACACATTGGGGTCTTCGCTGAGGACACCGTAGCACCTGTAGGTCCCTGCCTCTGTGGAGGTGACACGGCCCAGGTGGAAGGTGGACTGCTGTCCATTGTCCTGGGCTGTGGAGCTTTTTCTCTGGGTGAACTGAGGTGCATCTTTTCTGGTGAGAATAAATGCTTCAAACCTGATTCTGGAGAAACACTGTAACCTCACATTGTGCCCTGAAGCCACCACCGTGCCACTCATGCTGGAGAGTGTGGGTTTGTCATAAGATCCTGAGAAAGAAGGAAGTTGCAGATAAAGAGGAGGCCACGTGCCTTCCTGTTTCCAGGAGAAGATGTGGCTTTGGTTTCTATCCCCTCCATGTCCTGCCCTGAGGGAATGTGTCTCTCCATCATCCCTGATGCCTTCCTAGAGGTAGAGGTTTTTCTGCTTCCTGCTCCGTATCTCAGAGCCTGGTTCTTTCTCTGCAAAGTGGTCCCTCCTGGCCCTGCTGCTTGGATCCCATTCAACGTCATCAGCAGATACACGGGGTCACTAAGCTGGGACCCATGTCTTCCACTCCTATAGGAACAGAGGTACAGTCCTGGCCATTCTGGTTTCATCTCTTGGATATATAGAGTGTCCGTCATCCCAGCCATTGGTATTTCCCTTCTGTCCCTATGCTCATGTTCTTCCACTTTATATGTTGTGGGCTTCAGTGTCTGGAGGCCCTTGGCACAGGATCGTCACTGGTTCCTCATATAGAACCATGGATCCAGGCTGAGCTGTGATAAGAGGAGGGGGCAATACCATAGGAAAACAGATAATAACTTACCTGTGTAATTGCTCTCCTGCCAACTTCCACTTCCTACCGTTTTACAGCCACCAGTTTAAGTGCCAAGACTCCACTTCCTAGCGTCCAAGATCTGACATCTATTCAAACCCTACTGAGTCCTTGAACATTAAAAGGATACTCACCATTCTGAGCCTGAATGCTCTGGTTTAGATTCAAGTCTGGAAGGAAACATTGGGTGAGAACAGTTCACTCTTTAAAAAATTAAAAAAAATTTCCATTACAGTTTACATTCTCTATCACTTGGTATTATGTGCAGGTGTACAGCATATGGGTCAGATAATCATATGCTTCAAAAAGTGTCTCCCCTTGCTATTTCTAGGAGGCCTGCATGGTGAGGGCGGGGGAGGTACTCTTGTCTTTTGTGGAAGCCGATGGTGTAGCCAAGGACTTCTCACCACAGTCTTCTGTTTCGTCCCGTCAGTCCCTACATGGACAGTGTAATCTCCAGAAGGGGACATGGGAATGCTCCAGTTCCTCACCTCTGACCTCAAGCTGCAGTGGGTCGCTGGGGTGAGACCACACATCGATGTCTTTGTAGAAGCCACCGTAGCACCTGTAGGTCCTTGCCTGTGTGGAGGTGACAGGGTCCAGTTGGAAGGTGGTCTGTTGTTCATTTTCCTGGGCTGTGGAACGTTTTCTTATGGTGAACTGAGGTGCATCTTCTTTGGTGAGAATAAATATATCAAACTTGATTTTGGAGAAACACCGTAACTTCACATTGTCTCCTGAAGCCACCTCCATGTCACTCATGCTCATGAGTGTGGGTTTGTCATAATATCCTGAGAAAGAAGGCAGTTTGCTTTTAACGGGAAAATGACATCCATGTGCTGTCGCTTCCTGTTCCCAGGAGCTAACAGGGCTCTGCCTTCTATTTCTTCTGTGTCCAGCCCTGAGGGAATGTGTGTCTGCATCTTCCCTGAGGCCTTCCTAGAGGTAGAGGCTTTGCTGTTTCCTGCTTCATATCTCAGATCCTGGTTCTCCCTCTGCCAAGTGATCCCTCCTGGCCATGCTGCCCTTGTCCCACTCACCTGTCAGAACTAAATGCAGGGTATCACTGTACGGTGACCTGTGTCCTCCACTCTTATAGGAACAGCCGTACAGTCCTGTCCAGTATGGTTTCATCTCTTGGATAGATAAAGTGCTGGTGTTCTCAGTTTCCATAAATATACCGCTTTCCGAACTTATAACTGCTTTAGATTTGTGTATCTCATAGGCTGCAGCGTCTGGAGGTCCTTGGCACTGGATGGTCACTGGTTCCTTATATGGTATCCTAGTTCCAGGCTGAGCTGTGATAACAGGTGGGGGGAGACTTTCTAGAAAAAAAGGTAATAAATTTACAGGTGTGTCTGCTTCTCATGCCACCCTTCCTTTCCTCCCCTTTTACAGCCACGAGTTTAGATGCCACGACTCCTCTTCCCAGCCCACAAGAAAGCTGATATCTGGCCAAACTCTACTCAATCCTTAGACATTGAAAGAACACTCACCATTCTGAGCCTGAGTGCTCTGGGCTACAAACAACCCTGGAAGGAAACATTGGATGAGGACAGCTCAGTTTTTAAAAAACGTTTTTATATTAACAAATACAGTTTACATTCAATATCACTTTGCATTATTTTCTGGCATGCAGCCTGGTGGTTGGATAATCATTTACATTATAAAGTGCTTCCTCTTGCTATGTCCAGTACCCTCCTGGCACCATGTATAGGTGTTACAATTTTATTGGATATATTCTCTAAGCTGTACTCTAAGCTCCCAGGAGTATTCTCTAACTCCCAATCTATACTTCTCAATTCCTTCACCCTTACACCCAGTCCCATAAACTCTCCTCTGGCAACCCTCACTTTGTTCCCCGTGTCTGTGAGTCTGTGTCTGTTTTGTTTGTTCATTCATATTAGAAAATAGCCCAGCCTATGGAGCCACAGACCTGCCCCTGTAGGTTCTGTTTGCACCCGGACCCTTCTGTCCACACTCACCGAGATAGAGCAGAGTGGGAAGACCCACGGACATGATTCTGGGTCCTCTCTGGCCTGGTGTCCTCAGCGATGCTGCCTGTATATGGAAGGGACTTCTCTTAAAGTCACACCAAGCAACAGGAAGTGGTGGGAGGGCCTTGGTTCTTATCTCCAAGTGAAGGCATGTTACAACCTCTTTTGCTAAAGCCTAGCAGAGGCATCTGAGATTATGATGTTAGTCATCTGAACTTCAAACCTCCATCAGCCCAGATCAGTCCTTATTTTCTGTCCCCAATTCCTCATGGCATTTAATCTTTCTGTATAAAGTGAGCAGGAAGAGGGATCACAGATGAAGAACAGGACAGAAGTACTTCCCAGTCTGAGATCAGCTCTGAAATACTCTATGAGCCCATGGCTCCTGCTACTATAATATATGCTGAGCTTCCTTCAATTCAGGTACAAAATGGGTCAATAATTGTGTCTTTCTGCAAGGCTATACTCACAGTGTGTGCATATGGCCCAGAGCAGACCCGACAAGGGAGGCAATGGCATAATGATTCGTTCTCTATTTTATGCACATGTTCCCATCACGCTGTTAGTACTGACTCTGTCCATTGGTGAAAGTGATGATCCTAAGCAAGGTAATTATACTGGGTTTTGTCAGCCCCTAGTTCTTTTATTTTTGCCGATAAAAGGAAAGAGGTTTATTCAAGTGCCAGCTTCTCTTCACTCTTTATTAAAAATATGTTTTTATTGATTTCAGAGAGGAGAAGGGGAGGGGAGAGAGAGGTAGAAACATCTATGATGACAGGAAATGCTTGATTTGCTGCCTCCTGTATGCCCCACACAGCGGATTGAGCCCACAATCCAGGCATATGTTCTGACTGGGAATGGAACCTTGACCTTCTGGTTCATAGGTCAATGCTCAACTCTTTAGCCCCATGGGCTGGGCATTGCTTCTTTGTTTTTAAACCACCTCACTGCCTGAACATAACTGAGTAGCTATGCCATCTACTCTTCTAAATAAACATATAACTTAGATTTAAAATCTTCCTCTCTCTGCAATCACATGAGTCACTCTTAAGTGTGATGTAATGGAATAGCTGACCATTACTGGGTTTTCATTTTTTATCAAGGCCCTGTGGGGAAAGTTGCCCATAATCTTCATAAAAACTGTGTTGGATTGGTTAATGCTATAAGTTATTTGGTTATGTGTTTGATCATCAGACCCTGGGGACACTGTAGACAATGATAAATCCCACCTGGTCCTTCAGGTTTAGAAATATCTCCTGCTGCTTCTAGGGTTTCTCTGTGGTTGTGGGGTTTCAGTGAACATCCATCTAAGCTGAACCCTCGCATCACCACAACTGGTTCAATTAGCTGAGGAAGTGAGTCCCTGTGTTTGTGCCATTGGTACATGTCCTGGGCACAGAGCAGAAGGTGTAAGGTGAAATAATCACAGATGAGAAATGGGAGTTTTCTCAGGATTAAGAAGATAATGGAAGATTCCAACAGAGAGGAGGAGAAGACATGTCAAAATGGTTAGGTAAGTCTTGATTTGCTTTGACACTGGGGCAAAATATGCCTTTGTTTTTTTCTGTCTCTTTATCTTTTGTCTACCATGTTTTATCATGTATATTTTCATCTGTTACTAATGTGTATCTATCTTTATTCTATGATATTTGTTTATTATCTTTTTTGTTATCTATTTCTCTATCTATCTATTTATCTATCTATCTATCTATCTATCTATCTATCTATTTATCATCTATCTATCATTCATACCAGCTTTCTCTCCCTCATCTACCCACCTTTGTGTCATGTATATATCTATCTGTAACTATCTATGTATTACCTATACATAATTTATTATATTTCTCTATCATCCAACTATCTATCTATAAATCATCTATTTACCACCTTTCTCTCTCACCTATGTTTTATTTATTTTAGAGAGAAAAGAAGGAGGAGGAATAGAGGGAGAGAGAGAGAAACAGAGAGAGAAACATTGACCAGCTCGGTCCTGCAACCAATTCCCCCTCCACCCCCCATCCCCGCATTAGTGAGGATCAAACATGCTACCCAGGCATGCTCCCTGACCTGAATTGAACCAGACAGCAGATCTCTTGGTGCCTGAGATGATGCTTAATCAACTGAGCCATAGCAGCCAGGCAATAACTCTATTCTTCATTTTTTTGGGGAACCTCCATATGCACCCAAAGTCAAATCCTCTTAGGTCACCATCGATTTGGCCCCCTTTACCCATTTTAAAAAATGATGTATTTTTATTGATTTCAGAGAGGAAGGCAGAGTGAGAGAGAAGTAGGAACATTAATGTTTAGAGAGAATCATTGATGGGCTGCCTCCAGCATGTCCCATACTGGGGCTGGAGCTTCCTAACCAGGCATGTGCCTTTATCAGTCTGTGATGTCCTCGTTCATAGGTTGATGCTCAACCACTGAGCCACACCAGCTGGGTGGTCCCCTTTACTATCCCTCCACTCCATTCCCTCTGGCAATAACCATACTGTTGTCTGTGTCTATGAGTTTCAGTTAATATCCCCACTATGAGAGAATTATATGATTCTTAGCTTTTCCTGACTGACTCATTTTGCTTAGCATAATATTATCAATATCCAATCATGTTACAAATGGCAGTATTTCATCTGCCCTCATGGTTGAGGAGTATACAATGCAATACGTAGTTTCTGAATCATAAAAGTGTTCATTTGAAACCTATACAACCTTATTAACCAATGTCACCTATACATTTAATTTAAAATAGCATAGATACTCCTTTTTAAAAATCTGCATAGTATGCCATTGTGTAAATGTACCACAACTTTTGTATCTACTTATCTATTGATGGGCACTAGGGCTATTTCCAGATATTAGCTATTGTAAACAACACTGATATGAACACAGGGGTGCATTTATTCTTTCTGGTTGGTATATCAGGTTTCTTAGTATATATTCCTAGGAGTGAGACCACTGGGTCAAATTGAAGTTCCATTTTTAATTTTTCATGGTGAGTGAACTAAGCCAGTCAGAGAAAGACAATTATTCATTGACCTCATTATTATGTAGAAGTCTAATGACCAAAATAAACTGATGAACAAAGAAGATCTGGAGACATAGAACAGACTGATGAATCTCAGACAAAGGGGGTCAGGGGTCAGGAAGGATGAACCAAAGAACTTATATGCAAAAGCCATGGACACAGATGATAATGCAGTGAAGGCCTGAGGGGCGGGCATGGGTGCATGTTGGATGGGGTCCATGGGGAAAAGAAAGGAACATATGACTTATTTCCAACAATTAAAGTTAAATTAAAAAAAAAAAGCCAAGCAGGCCAGTGGACACATTTTAGGTATTTGCTCTGTAGACCTCCATGAGCACCCATTAGCACCACTTTAATTCACTGTGATGTAAGGACATTGTGCCAGATTCTGCAGGAGACGGACACACCCCATTACCCAGTAGACAACTCAGCCAGCACCTGGTTTCCTCTGGTCCTGTGCCCCTCAAGTCCACACCGTCCTTAGATGCCACAAATATCTTAGGTGTTGGTCATGACGCTCAGGTGTGGAGGGGAGGTTCTCATCTGAGCCCGGGGAAGGACCTCTTGTGGCTGTAGCAGGCCTCTGCCAACACCACCACCAGGGCCAAGAGAACCAGGCCAGCCAGACTCAGCCGGACCTGGTTTACTGCGGACACACTCCCACCAGCAGGTCCTGAGAGATAAACGACGGAGGTCAGAGAGCTGGAGCCAAAGGCCCTCACAGGAAGATGCCCTCAGCCTGAGCTGGTGTCTCCAGTCTAATGGATGTGGGAGGTCTTTGCCCAGTCACACTCTGCACAAGCAATATCTGCCTTCTTTCCTGTCATCATTATGAGCCCCGTGGTAATTTCCATACAGAATTCTGGATTATGAAAGGCAGGGATGGGGACTGGGTGGGAAGTTTTCAGTCTTCTCCCTGGGAGCTCTGCTGGGTCCTTCTTTGGGATGCCCCTCTGCCAACTATTGTTTCAGCCGATGAAGAATGGCCTCCTTGGCACTCTGTGGTCAATAAAGCTTCTCTCTCCCTCGTTCCCTTTGCACCTCATCTTCCTTCACCTTTCCTGCTCCGTCTGCAAAGACTACCAGTTGGTGCTCTCCATCAACAGAGCCTGCCTGTGCCATTCCCTTTCTTCTCCATCTCCCTTTTCCTTTTCTGCTTCCTTCACCAGACACTTTACTGTTAGCTACCTCACTGACAAGCTCAAAGGGCCCATGCTTTACCTCCATAACGTGGTTTCCTAAGTCCCTTTCTTCTGGATTTACTTCTTTTACCTCTGTAATTTACTCAATAAATGGTTTCTTAAAAAAGATAACCCATTACTCAACAAGGATAAGGCTGGGTTCTGTGGAATCAGGATTGTCAGCAGCTTCTGTAGATGGGGAGGAAACGGGGTGGTTCTTTTATCTGTGCTCAGGGTCTCTCTCCACAGACTCACAATGACCTGTATGCTCTCCAAGGCCCTGGGCATGTGTCAGAGGCCTGCATGGTGGGTGAGTGCTGAGGACCTCATAGCTTTGGTGGAAGCGGGTAATGTGGAAATGGCTTCCCACTACTCACTTCTCTAAGAGGACAGTGTCATCTTCAGAAGAGGACATGGGGATAGACTGGCTTTCTCACCTCTGACCTCAAGCTGCAGTGGGTCGCTGGGGTGAGACCACACATTGGGGTCTTTGCTGAGAGCACCGTAGCACCTGTAGGTCCCTGCCTCTGTGGAGGTGACACGGTCCAGGTGGAAGGTGGTCTGCTGTCCATTGTCCTGGGTTGTGGAGCTTTTTCTCTGGGTGAACTGAGGTGCATCTTTTCTGGTGAGAATAAATGCTTCAAACCTGATTCTGGAGAAACACTGTAACCTCACATTGTGTCCTGAAGCCACCACCGTGCCACTCATGCTGGAGAGTGAGGGTTTGTCATAAGTTCCTGAGAAAGAAGGAAGTTGCAGATAAAGGGGAGGCCACGTGCCTTCCTGTTTCCAGGAGAAGATGTGGCTTTGCTTT